CATGACCGAAACTCCGGTCGATGACACTGGCAATACAATGCAGATTTTCCGTTATTAATGATGAAACTGCATTCAGAATTTTCTGTTAGGCTATTAGATTCATTTACTTTGTATTTCAGTATAAAAAATATTTGGAGATGATTGTATTTTGTATTCATTTTTCATATATTATATCTGAAATGTGGCACGAGTTGGCCGGCTTGATCGGAGTAATATCACAGCCTTACTGAAAAACCGGCGTGAAACAACCACAGCGTTGTGTTTCGCCGTGTGTATGAGGTTGTCGGATGCTCAAACCTTACCCTTCCCCCATCCCTTCCTAATCCTTAAATCTTCGGCAACGCACTTGCAAATCCTTTTGTAATCTGCCTGCATATCGTATATTTCTTACGTGTTTGCAATTATTACGTTTTATTAGTTCTTGAAGCCTGTAAGGACATGAAAAGGCAACTATGCTTTTTAGGCAAAAGAGCGCATTTTCATTAGTAATGTGTAAATAATTATCTATTAGAGGGATAGCTTACATTGAGAAGTCTGATTTCATCCCGAATAGCCTTTGCGTAACCGGGAAATCCACAGAGGACACTTGCTGCAGACGTACTACAATAAATCGACGAAAGTATATAAGAAAACTATAAATCCAAAAATACTACCTACCTACCAGTATAGGACAAGTTAAAAAAAATATAAAACGGAGCATTCTTGTTAAATGACATTGTGAATGTCTTAAAATATTGTTATCAAACTTTACCCTTTACGAGTATTTAATTATTATTGGTTAGAAGTACTTACTCAAGGTCATGAAACTATCCTGAATTTCAAAATTTAAAAGATTTTTAATCTTCTAACTTTGCAATAAAGTTTAAAATGGAAACACAGTGGGTGTTTGTACATTCGAGAGCTAATGTTGACACTGTATTTTTATTTATTTGTTTAATGATACTTTAAGATTCTTAAACTAATCTAGGAACTAGTTTCAGGGTTACTATTGAGGTTAGAATTTAATTTAGATTAAATAAACAAAGAAAACTGTTAGTTTATTTATACTTAAGTAGAACATTGACTTGAGACTAACCTGTTTAATTATTCTCTTCCTAATTAAGAACTAAATATGATAACGATCTAGACATCGTCATAAAATTTTATTTGTTCCTCATAGGAACTTAATAGATAAAAAGAAAAAAAAATACAAACTCCTTCCTTCCGTTTTAATGAAACGAACAAAAAATTAATTAAATCAACTGTAGCTACATACGTACGAATTAACATATCATTCGAAACTACATAATCGATAAAAACAATCGATTGTTAATTTTAAACGCAATAAAATTATGAAATTTAATCGTTAAGGAGAAGGATTTTGAAAAGTCCCACTCACTGACATTGCCCTGCATCAGCCCACGGGCATTCACCTCCATGTCAAATGCGGAAGTACAGTTACCAGCTCAATATCATCAAGGGCAAGTTCATATTGCAGTTTTATTTATACGAAAGTAAGTGATATAGATATACTTACTTGTATGTCGCCGACCGGATGTAAGATTGACCAGATTTTAATATGTCTAGGCACATTTTTTTTATGTAATAGGTCGGCAAACGAGCAGACGGATTACCTGATGGCAAGCAATCAGCGCCGCCCATGGACACTCGCAACGGAGGAGTTACGAGTGCGTTGCCGACCTTTTAGGGATTAGGGATTTGGAGATTTAGGGATTGAGGAGGGATTGGGGAAGGGGAAGGATTGGGCCTCCGGTAACCTCACTCACACGGCGAAACACAACGCAGTGGTTATTTCACGCCGGTTTTCTGTGAGGTCGTGGTATCACTCCGGTCGAGCCGACCCATGCGTGCCGAAGCATGGCTCTCCCCCACTTCATTATTCCCACATTATTATTTGGTCCTTAAATTTATGAAGTCAGAATTTTATATTTTATTATTGTTCAGCCGGATTGAAATAAAGTACTGCGATCTCGGCCTAGGACAGGAGTCGTTCTCCTATTGGGTTAGTTTTTAGTCAATGAGAAGACATTTTAATTTAACATAAAAAAGACTAAGTATCTTATTACCATTGTCATCAAACGTCGTCACGTCATTTAAATCTTTGATTTAAATTAAAATAGATTTATTTATTTGCATAAAATGTAGGTAATTTTACAATTAGGTGTTACAATTTTATGTGACCCGTGTACATTCTGCCTAAATGGCATGCAAAAAATATTACTTATACTATAAAAAACTATAATCTAGGTATCACTTATATTATTATATATATTAATTTAATTTAAGTACAAACAGTGTTCACTAATTTTTTAAAAATCTTGCAAGGTATCTGTTTAGGAGTGGGAGTATTTCGACAAAAAATATTGGAGAATAGCTTGCCTTGATGGCACAGATTATTTTTAAAGGATGATAATGGCTTTCAGTATTTTGGGGTAAAATCGGATCCTTAACTAGGATCTTCTTGACCATCTTGATATATATCGATCAAAAAAATATTTGCCGGAAGGAACATTGACTACGTTTTTGTAGCCTAATCAGTTTGGGAAGTTATCAGTCATATTGTAATCTGACCAATTTATGATGGCCTACGACATGTAGGTATGTAGATATGTATAAAGGTAGGTACGTATATGCCTGACATTGCACTACCATTTATAATATTAAGGTCATGCTCCATATTTTTGCAGGTTTTACTTTTTTGCTTTAGGGCTCGTCCTTCGATTAAAAGTAATAATTAGCAGTATTTTCAGCGTCTTAAAAACACTAATAAGTTATTTAAATATAACTTTATATTACTTTTGCTTGTATTTTTCAGTCATTGTATTAATTACATTATTAAATAATGATATCTATACTCATCATACTCTTTTTGCAGGATAAGGGAAAATTATAAAAAACAACAACTATTTGATAAAAATGTTGGGGTAGGGCTACTTTTAGTATGGCTCTGGATGACTCACGCCTGGAAAGGAAGGAAAGTATCTTTTCCGTTAAGAAAGGTAAAGGTTAAGGGAATTTGGAAGTTCAAAAGGATATAAAACCATAAATCCATACAAGATATAACATTTGAAAGCTTTTTTATGATAGGGATGTAAACGAGACGTATTACCAGATGGTAAGGAATTGTTTAGTCTATGGACACTCGCAACAGCAGAAGAGTTACAAGTAGGTATACTGCCGGTCTTCTGGGGATTTGGGCTTTGGAGGTTAAGGGATCGGGATAGGGGAAGGGAAATTATTGGGCTATCAACAATTTTAAACGATAGTGTTTGTATGTTTCATCTAAGAAACTTCGAGTTTTTACTGACATAACAACGAACGTGTTATCTTTTCTTTGGATACCTACATGAAAATTCTCCATTTTTTTTTGTAATAGGTCGGCAAACGAGCAGACGGATTACCTGATGGTAAGCAATCAGCGCCGCCCATGGACACTCGTAACGGAGGAGTTACGAGTGCGTTGCCGACCTTTTAGGGATTAGGGATTTGAAGATTTAGGGATTGAGGAGGGATTGGGGGAGGGGAAGGATTGGGCCTCCGGTAACCCCACTCACACGGCGAAACACAATGCTGTGGTTATTTCACGCCGGTTTTCTGTGAGGCCGTGGTATAACTCCGAGTTACATTACTCCATTTTTGCGTCTTCCTTGAAAACCTCCAAGTTCTATGTACTCGTAATATCCATACTAATGATATAAAGCTGAAGAGTTTGTTTGAACGCGCTAATCTCCGGAACTACTGGTTCGAATTGAACAGTTCCTTTTGTGTTTGTTAGTCCATTTATCAAGGCAGGCTAAAAGCTTAAGCTATAAAATATCACGTTAGGATCTGTAGCAGCGGGTGAAACCGCGAGGAAGTAGCTAGTCTTAAAATAAAGTTTCATTCAGAGTGTTTGGTAATATGTAGGCACATATTAGTTTACTGGTCACACAACCATGTCGATTTGTTGGCACATCAGGCCTTGATAGCTTATCCAGATTCCTAAAGTAACTCTTACCAAGCTATAGGCAGCGTAGGCATTTATATGCTCAAGTGATGTCACAGTGTGTGGAGTAATGTTTATCTATTTATTTATTTGAATAGTACGGTACAAAATCAATACGGTAGTTTCCAATTAGTCAATTTCAATACTTTTATCCAAATGTCAAAAACGATACTTTTCTATGAAATTTGTATGAAACGCTGAGTTATGATGTCATAGTATTTTAGCGTTAAATAGCTTACTTATTTCTGAAAAATTTGTTAATCAATATCTAAAATTAAATAACTATACATTTATCCATCGATGGCTTAATAAATAAATGTTTTGTTTTGTGAAAATTTTTCAATTTTTTATTGTATTGAAACGTCGAAATATAATTTATTTTTGACCTAGGAAACTACCCAATTATACTACTTAATTCTTAAGTAATATATTAATTAGGCACATAAGTCAAAGAAAAAATTAATATAGGAACAAAAATTCAAACATTCAATTATATTGTATGAATGGTTAGCTACGATATTTGAAAATTATACTTAGTTATTTAGACAATTTGTGATGGAGTTCGAAAAAGATGCCTTGTAGGTTGTATGAGCTAGCCCTAACCTAGGTATACTATTTGAGTACCAGATCTTTGAGAACTGGATCTGAGATACTTGGTGTTAACAATCTTTTTTTTTTAAATCAACCTTATTTTGTCTTACTTACTTAAGGTTTCACTTGATTAGTAATAAATTATGACGTGTGCTTTGGATTTATTATTTCTTTACCAATACCATAATATACTAAGTATAACTTTACCAATTTCTAAGTGACACTTAATGCTAGTTTACTAGACTATAAATAGTTATGGATAAAAATTTACAAATACCTTATATTCTAAGAATAAGTATTACAAAAAAAAAAAAGTATTAACTACTAAGTTTTTACTAGTTGTAGTACTTTTCAGCAGTCCTGTTTGCGTGCAGCGGTCACCATGGCAGCGGGTGCACGTGGTGCGCGGACGCACTTCCCGCGTGTCGGAGGTCGCGCAGCGTTCTATATAATGTGAACAAGTTGCCCAAGCGCACACTACCACACTCACGCGCACGCCGCCAACATCCACCAACTTAACACTGTACGTAATAAAGGATATTTAAAAAACTTAAATCGATCCAATTTCCAAGGTTAAAACCTTTTTTAAGCGTTGCACGTAGTCAGTTGTGTCGCGTAGTAACTGTGGACCCACCACCGATCGTTTGGTTGCAGCGGGAGCGGTCAGTCCTGCAGCTCCGAGCTCCACTCAGTCTACGCGTAAGCATCCGCCACTCGGTCAGTGCGCGTGCGCAACAGTGATACTGTGACAGTGACAGTACCCGTTAAACCTTAGCCATCATGAACCACTACGTCAAAATCGTAAGTTACATTTATTATTTATTTTTTTATTAAAATATTTTGTAACCTTCTTGGTCCACAGGCGTTAAAGGTTTTAAATAAAATTGCAGGTCATTTATACAATTAAATTTAAATTGAGAACTTGACTTCTTGATCATAAACAAACAATATGTCGGTTGAGTTTTAACGAGTGTTAGCTATTATTAAATAATCGGAATCATGTAATAAATTAAAAAAAAAATCGTGAATATAAATGCTTGTAGATCACGATAGTTGCAACCGTGAGTGTTGAAGTGTCAGTGGTCCAGTTTTAAGTAATTATGTCAAGTTCTTTAACACACGGCTATAAAAATTCGGTTAAAATGATGAACTTGAAAAACAATGATGAAATGGACATTTGTTCTTTATATATACTGGTATACTAGATATAGTAGTAAAACTTTGTGTGAATAGCATTTTTATGACTTCAAAATGAAGTGGGAAGTTGTTATAAGTGATATTTTGTGAATAATTTGTTATTGATTTTTTTTGTGCAAAGCTTTTCTTTTTTATATTCTTTTTTCAAATTTTCTGATCGAAAATAATATTTATGTGGCCCCTTGTAGAAACGTTATGCAGTTATATGCGAAATTTCTAAAATATGTCAAATATTAGGATGTAATTTAGTTATGTAGTTAATTAAGATGAAAAAGAAAATAGCCAGAAGTAAGTAAATATTTCGCACTAATTACATACACATACGCAAGTTACGCGGTGCGTTTCTCAGCTTACATAAGGAACGAGTTTCGTTGATAAAGATTATCCGTAACAACATTTTTAAATGAAAAATGTACTTCAAAATCAAACCTTACGTAATTATTTTACGATTTAATAAACTGATTAATTTGAATGAATGTGTAGTTAAGTTTATAATGTACTTAACAATGTATTTTTTTTTTGAGAAATTAAGTATAAGGCATGTTAGTACAATTAAACGTATCTATGTATTCTTAATTTGAAAAAAAAAAGAAACCGATAGTACCTATTTAGTAATTAAAACATTGTTAAAATAAAAATAAAATCGTATTACAACATGACAACAAAATAAGTGGAGATAATTATTGGAATAATAATAATAATTATGTTTTAATAAACAAGATAAGATCGTTCGTCGTGTAGTACTAAAATTACTGAATTAATTCTAAATATACCTACTATTAGATACCTATTGTTAATAGTGACTCATTTAAGTATCGGTTTATAAATCACTGTATTGAGATACGGACGCGGATTTCCTTAAATCATTTTGTCGCTTATTTGTTGAATTATGAATATTTTAACATACATTTGCAAATTACTTAGATATAGAGGATAATTTTTGAGGTTCCGTGCCTTCTAAAAAACAATGAAACCTTTTGTTCTAAAAGGAGTTATCATTTATGTAAAAATGTCATTTCTTTTAAAACGAAATCAGGAAATAAAAAATCAATTAAGTACTGACTGATACGACAAAGAAAATAAACAATAGGTAACTGTTGATTAGCACCACTCAACTCTTAACTAACGTTACGAAACTTGACACTATGCTAATTTGGCTTATATAAATTAATTGAAACTAGCGTCAACAAATAATAGACGTTATAATCGAAGACTAAGTAAGGACTTTCGTCTGCTGAAAAAAAAAACCAGGAATATAAAACATATTAATTGCAAACACGATTCAGCTACATAATAATATAGGTACTATATCTCTGAGTAAATTTTTTTCAATATTGAACCCTTTATAAAATACTTGTATAATTAACCCAACAAAAAGGCAAATATCCGAAATTTATTATAGATCTATTTCTCATTTCTTTTACATTACTTCCAAACGATTTGCTCCTGTCAAAACAGCAAAATCGATAAAGAAATTTCAGACATTAAGATTGAAAATACCCCATAATACAGTTGTATAAACTAGTTAAATAAGTCGAGAGAACACTAACATATACATTGCTAAGTGATATAACTTAGCTACGAACTAACTAATAAGTACTAATAAATAACTCAGTAAACGCTAGTTAGTTAATTGTGGATATAAATTAATCTTGTTTATTACGGCTTTGTTTGATTAAAACTTCATTATCAAAAAACTATGTAGGTAACTAATCATAATAATTATGCTACATTAGGATTTTTCTGATGTCTCTATTAAAAATATTACCCTTTTTTAAACCGATATTTAGGTGTTTTTGTTATAGTTCATTTATTGTTATTTATTTATACTAACTCATATGTATCCGAATTATCGAATCACGAAATGAAATCCGAAGTTCTTTATTTACTTAAATAGAGATTACCTACATTTAAAATTTTAATAAATTACATCATCATTATAAGTTTTGATTAGAGCCAAAAGTTTTTTGCTTCGTCATCCTTTCGTTTTCATTGTTAAAGATTTGAATAATGTTACTTCATTTAGATTTTGGACAATGATAATATTTATATTAATTTTATAATGCAAGTTAGTACTTATTACAGTAGATAGATTCTTCATTAGATACATTCTCTCTGCATCACCCTAAGGTTGACTGGTGAGAATGCCTACGGCATTAAGTCCGCCTATGTAATGTTTTGTTGCATAAAGTTTAAATAAATAAATAAAATAAATTCTTTTGTCACTTGTTATTAAGTGTTATATGGTATTTAATTAAAGAAACGTTAGGTTAGGATTATCTTTTTAGGTAGATATTGATATAGATTATTGATTTTTTTAATGCGAAGGAGGGGGTTTTATTCGGTCTCTTTTCAAGTCCTGGGTAAGCCAAGAGGTAGTGTCAGAATGTCTCAGACTAAAAACCACTCAGTTCTTTGCCCTGCTTTAGGCCACGTTACATTATTGGGCTTGCCACGCTGATTTTTTTTCTTATGTAATAGTTCGTTAATCTGGCAGACGAATTACTTGATGGTAAGCAATCACCGCCGCCCATGGACACCTGCGACTCAGGAGTTACGAGTGTGTTGCCGACCTTTTGGGGTTTAGGGATTTGGAGATTTAAGGATTGGGGGAGGGTAAGGATTGGGTCTCCGGTAACCTCACTTACACAGCGAAACACAACGCTGTGGTTGTTTCACGCCGGTTTTCTGTGAGGCTCTGATATCACTCCGGTCGAGCCGACCCAATCGTGCCGAAGCATGGCTCTCCCACATTTAGAATGAATTACCCGACACGATCGCTTCTTAATCAACTTAAAACCTTCTAAACACAAAACAAGCGATAAAATACAAAGATTAATTGAAATGATACTCGGTACAATACACACTATTAAAATCACAAATGAAATTGAAATAGAATATTAATATTTGATAATCCAGTAACCATTTCACAACTTCTACAACACTAGGCATTGATACAACGATCTGATTTCAATCGATCGCGCCTGATAACAGTCTATTACCATTTCAAAGCTTATGAATTGTAGGAAATAGTATCAGAGTAAACACTAAGATTATGGACCTATCCATTTTGATATTACAAGATAGATATCGCGTGAGATAAATCTATGTTTGCTTTACGTTTTGACTTTATAGTTGTGTACCTGTTTACTTAAGTGGAGTTGTTTGTTTTATATCATAACTTAGAGTTAGTAGTTTTCAAAGGAATTGGTAGAATTTTACGTTAAATTGCGGTGCTGGCTTGCCATTTCCTCGGTTTGCAGGAGGAGAAAGAACGGGAAAGATTTTTAGTAAGAGTCTGACACTCCATCTCTACTTACCTTAGGCGAGATAACACATTTGATTATTGTGCACCCACAAAAAGTAGTGATAAAGCTTCATACGCCGATCGCTTCCTATAGATTCACGTTCCTCAATATATGGACTATAAACACATAGGGCATTATTGAATTCAAACCAGTACTTCCAGAAATAAGCGCATTTTTACAAACAAACTCTTAAGCTTTATATAACACAGGGTATTTTATAATCCTACTGAGAGATATTTGATAATATTTTACTAATTAATTAAGTAATCACAAATATAACAGAGGTCAAAAGGTCTGTCAATTAAAATCAAGTTTAAAACTATAAAATACCTATACAAGTTTATATGTATAATAAACCTTGAACTAATAGACGATGCAAGACACGTAAAATTCTAAGCACAAAAATTCACTTACACATCTTTTTTAAATAAAACCTCTTCGGAATACTAACCTAATTTTAAACCACAAAATTTATAAAGCAATGACATTTGACTATACTTTCTTAAGCAAACATTAAAACCTTTTTGTCTGGTTAAACGTATTTATTTCTTACCACACCTGTTAAATTCTTTGTTACAATAAATCTTTCAAAGAACGAAATTATGATATAATCAAGCTCGATTTGAAGTTTAAGACTTAACTTGACAGTGATTATGACCTATGACAGTATTGTGGAAACTATTATGCTTGCTCTGAGGGCATGAGTAGACAGATAAAATGATATTTATATAATATTAACTACCTTCATCCTTTTTAGACATCCATATTTATAATATTAGTAAGAAGCAGGATGTAAGGATGTAGGATAGTATAGGTATGAGATCCATTTGTAAGGAGTTTTATACATATCAATTCAGTTTCACAACTTTTTCGACATAAAAATTTATTCGAAAATATTAAACTTTTAGAAAATGTTTTTCTATACGATTTTTGATGTACTATGTTCTGTCTAAGGAGATAATAGATATACGGAGCTCAATGTGATTATTTATTAGTTAGACTGGTAAAATAATTATGTACAGCTGTTAGTATTTTTGGTTTCTTCAATTTGACCAGTTGACTTTTAAACAGTAACCAGTGCAAACGTTTACCAGTATTTAGTTGAACCATCTAATTTACATTCCATTTGTCAGACCTTGGTGGAAATTGTTAATACTAGAACAGCTGTTCGGAGGGAAAATTAAGGAAATAATGACATGAAGTAAACTGTAGGTGCGAGCTTATTTTTTAACTGACTTGAGACCGATTTGACTAAGCATGAGGAATATTTTTATTCTTTGCACAACTTATTGACTA